ATATGAAATATCTCTATAAATTATTGCAAATATTTTATTTTATTGAAATTATTTATTTTTAAAGTACAATGTGTTACTATTTCAAATCAATACTTGCATGATAAAATGATTCAGAAAACATATAATACGTTTTAAAAATATTAATAATCTCAATTCGAAAAATAAATAAGAAAAATAAGAAGGGCTTCAATACTCTTCGATAAAATAAGTTTCTCACTACGCAACAAAAAGAAAAGAGAACAAACAACAGACCATGGATAAAATTTAAGAATATATAGTACAAAAAATTAATATTTATCATGATGAGCTTGCAGAAAGTTATTTTTTGAAAGTTATTAAGCTAACAATAAATCAATATAAAAGAATTTAATTACAAATCAATCCACTCTTTTAATAAAATATTATAAGAATTTAAGTCACGAATTGATCTTTTTCCAAGAAAATTGAGAGAGACAATGAAAAAGAAGAGAGAGAGAGAGAGAGAGAGAGAGAGAGAGAGAGAGAGAGAGAGAGAGAGAGAGAGAGAGAGAGAGAGAGAGAGAGGGAAAAAAAGAAAAAGAATTAAAAAGTTGATAACATTAGAAAGAGAAAAAACTAACAAGTTGAAAGGAGAGAAAACACTGATATGTTTTTAATTAAAAAATTTGATAATTAATCATAGTTATAGGATTTGTACAATGAAAGATGGAAGATAATATTACAGAATGATTTTTCCCCCTTTTATTAAAGTCTTTCAAAATCTCTAGATTGAATGACAAACAAATTGTAAGAATTTTTATCTGTATTTTCTATTTAAAATTTAGTAAGTTGAGAACTTTGTAATTGATTAGAAGTTATTAATATTTGAATACCCCGTGAGGTTTTAGGACTTTAAATTTTAATCTAATACTCAATCATTTTTCAAGACTTTAAAAAGTCTATGAAATACTACATTAAATACACCTAGATATTTTAGATGTGTGAAAGTATTTAAAAGTTTCAATCTTCTTATATTCTTTTTATTATTCTCTATTTTTGAAATACGATTTAATTGAAAAATATGAAAATAAAATAAAAAGATTCGGGATGGATAAAGCAATTCAAGGCATGGACCATATTTTCATCCCCATCCAATTTACTATTTTGGTCAAGGTAATGTGAGTTGAGTCGAGCAGAATTTTATCATCCGTATCATTCAAAGGGAAGATTATTGAAAAAAAAAAAAAAATGAGAACAAAGTTTCAAATCGATACTTGAAGTAGTGATAAATTTATAAGGGGGAGAGGGGCAGAAACTCAAAAGTGACTTCAACCCCAAAGATAAAGAATAATTCTTGCAATGCTGCCAGCACTGCTTATGTACATATACAATGGGATTTCCCCTTGTAAAGATAAATAGTTATCTTCCATAGTTATTATTCAAAATCTTGCTTTTGTGATGAATGTAGGTTAAAGAATCAGTAAACTAAAAATGGATAATTAAAAATCAAATTTAAACAGATACAAATATATAAATTTCTTAAATTAGAATGTATCTACACGTGAGTATAGGTGGGAAACATTAGGTTTCCCCTTTCGTCCCTATAGTTTTAGTTTTTGGTCAACAATGCCCTTATTCATTCTTCATGTTTCACAAAAATTTTTGTGGTTTTTTATGTTTATTATTCTAGTAATAATTAACTTTTAGACTCAATTCCTTTAAAAACATTAATTCAAATAAAAAAATTAAACATAAAAGAACTGAAAGTTCACATTATAAAAGTATATAATTCTTTAGGGAAATGTTTTTTGAATAATGATTTTTTCAAGAATGTATAGTTGAAAAAAATAAAAATAAAAAACAAAAATTAGATTTATGTCTAAAATTATTTTTTGGAAGAATGTGTGGTTGGAAATGAGTTTTGAAAAAATAAGACTCAAATAGATAATTTATTATTCTAACTAGAGTCAAATTTTACCTTCATACTCTATAAAAATAATACTAAAAGAAAATTAAACTAGAAATTTTTTATTTATAGATTTACATGACCTAAGTTGATATTTCACAATCCGTTATTATGCAAATTTCCGTTATTTTTTACCTTTTATTCATATTCAGATTGTATGTTTGGATTTATGGATTTTTGCACTTACTGTTATTATTATTATTATTAATTTTTTTTATTGAGCAAATTTATTGATTATGGGTGAGAAGGAAAAAATTTGTGATTAAATGTTCAGAGGCATAAAAATGCATTGGAAGTACCTACCTTGTGCTCCAAATATGCCCAATCACTCTAATGAACAGTACTGAAAAAATTAATTAAATTGGAGTCACTACAAAATGGAGTAAATATATATGTGTAGAAAGATTGAATAAACGTATATAATTAAGAAAAACCAGTTACCTTGTGATTCGAAGATGTTATGTGCCCTACTGTAATAGCACAAGCTTTCCAATTTGATCGAAATATGTATACTAAGTGAGGAAATAAAATAGAGAATGAAAGTTGGTAGTGTTTTAAATATATATCTATCGCATAAGAAGGCAATCTCACGAATAAGGGTTAAAACAAAAGCCTTATGTTTTATGTAGAAATATTGTAATGAGAACGAGACATAGTTTTATAGTGTAATGTTTGGCATTGGATGACTTGCTAATCAAATTATTCCATTCCTTCCGTACCAAATTAATTAACTTTACGATGGTACCTATAGCTTTGTCCCCGCTAATTATTGTCACTTTTGTATTTTTACTCGGGAACTTTATTCTTTTCTTCCTGTTAGTTCTGCAAGAACAAAAGCTAAGTATCAACTTTGCTTTTAATTTGAAAGCAAGCAAACAAATAATATAAACTAGGAACTTTAACAAAATGTTTTTACATTTCAAGAGGAAAGGAATAAAATTCTGTACAATTGAATCACCCAACCATCCAATATGTTTTTTTATTAGCTTAGGAATTCTATTTTTCTTTTTCCCATAGTTACTACAATTAAACATTTGGTGAACCCATAGAACGGTTTGATGAGAAAATAATTTACTGGTCTAGATCCATTGTCTCTCTAGTTTGCAATAGAAATAAGTGAATAAGATATTTGTTCATTTCCATGGTTAAGTGAATCTATGCAATGAATTTAATCAATTAAGTAAAATTTCTTCTTCACATTTTTTAATAATTGTTACATGTTGTCGTACAAGGCTCTTATTATTGGCTACATTGCAACCAATTAGGGGAACAACAAGAATCCACCTAAGGCTGGCAATCTACATTACTTCGCTCACCCGCCTAACTGAAGCCATGACGAAGGAAGCTGAAGTGAGCTAAATGTCCTAGTCGACCCAACAAAACGAGTGGAGGTCAAACCTCTGTGTTTGAGGCGAATCATTCTAATCGGATTTTCAAAGCTGTGAGCCTTTCACAAGGAATCTTTCATAGATTCGCCTAGGGATGTAAATGAGCGGGACCAAGCTGGCTCGTGAGCCTAAAGTTTCGGCTCGGGCTCGACCCGGTTAAAATGGCCGAGCTTTTTTGAGAGCTCAAGCCGGACCGAGCAAAAGCTCGGCCAAAAAAAAGAGGCCGCTCGGGCTTTTTCTGGGCCGAGCCGGACAGGCTCGTTTTCTACCCTCCTTTTTTTTTTTTTTTTATTCTCCTTAACTGCTACCTTAAAATGCAGTAGCTGCCTTCAAGGCAGCCTCAAATTTTTATTTTTTATTTTTTGAAAACTCGCGAGCTCACGGGCTGGCTCGGACAAAGCCCGTGTCCCCATAATGGGGCTCGGCCTGAGCCCCGAGCCGAGCTATGGAAGGCCCGAGCCGACGAACCCGATTGCCATCCCTAGATTCGCTTCATCAAAGAGATTTTTTTGTATGATTAATTAATTTTACATATCTGCAACAAATGCCTCTTAGTCAACTTTTCATATGGTAGATCTAGACAATATGGTGGCTAATTTCAAAGTCATTTAATACCACCTCAACTTAAGACATCGGAGGTGATGCATATGAGGTTGATGCGCGATCGTTAAGATGAGGCAACGTGCCATTATTCAATGGCAATTACTTTTCATATTTTATACAGTGAATTCATCTCATCCAACGGTAGTCACACTACAAAGCTAATTCCTTTAAATCCCTACATAATCAACTTAAAATAATTATAAAGTGAATCTAATAATTAGTGAGATCATGAATCCATAGACTTTCAATAAAATATTTGTTATGTATGATTTCTATAAAA